TATCCAGCAAAGCTATCATTCAGAATTGAAGGTCAGATAAAGAGCTTCACAGATAAGAAAAAGCTAAAGGAGTTCATCACCACCAAACCAGCATTATATGAAATGCTGAAAGGTATTCTTTAAGAAGAGGAAGAAGAAAAAGGAACTCTTACCATTTGCCACAGCATGGATGGAACTTGAGAGCGGATAAATACCACAGGATCTCACTCATTTGTGGAATATAATGAACAACATAAGCTGATGAACAAGGACTGATCCAGAGACGGAGAGGCATTGATTGGACTGTCGGGACTTGGAGGGAAGGTAGGGGAGGTTGGGGGTAAGGGGGAAAGATCAACCAAAGGACTTATATGCAAGCATATAGGCCTAACCAATGGACATGGACAACGGGGGGGTGAGGGCATGAGCGGGGGTGGGGGGGGTGGGGGGTAGAGGGTAACGTGGGGACAAGGACACATATGTAATATCTTAATCAATAAAAAATATATTAAAAAAAAAAAGAAAGAAAACATGTCTGAAGAAATAATGACAGAAAACTTCCCTGATATAGGGAAGAATAAACTCACACAAATCCAAGAAGCTCACAGAGTCCCAAACAAAATGAACCCCAAAAGACTGATGCCAAGGCACATTATAATTAAATTGGCAAACACCAACGACAAAGTAAGAATATTAAAAGTGGCCATAGAGAGACAGAAAGTTACCTACAAAGGATCCCCCATCAGACTAGTGACTGATTTCTCAACAGAAACACAACAGGTCAGAAGGGAATAGAATGAAATATACAAAGTCATGCAAAGAAAGGGTCTGAATCCAAGGATATTGTACCCAGCAAGAATATCATTCTGTAGAACTTCCAGCTTCTAATGCCTTAGAACTTTTGGTGCCAGAGAAGTTCTGCGGAATTGTGAAATAACTTGGTGTGCCAAAAAGAGTCAGGGACCAAGTATGTGATTGAGTGATGCTTGGAAGGCCCTGAACACATCTACCTGGCCCACTGAGAATAAACACTCTCCACATGCCCACACTCCTTCACCTTTCTCTCCTTCTTCCATACAGACTTCAAACCCCATGAAACAAAAGAAATATAAGGCCCAAATGCAAACACCCTTGGAGACAGGTCAGTCCCTGGGAAGTATATTTACACCCAGGTACAAGTGACTTTGCAGATCCTCTCATGAGTCCTTCTTTTGAGTGATTGGCTATCATCTTGGGTTGGGGGGTAACTTATTTTCTTCATTAAAGACACCTATAATAATTTTTTAGGGTTTCTTAGCCTCCTTGTAGCTCCTATTCCTGACTCTGAATTGGGAATCTAGATAACCCCTCATGACTCAAGATTCACTGGACCAAGAGTTGCAGATGAAAACAAAAATCAACTTTCTGGGCCTACCTTTAGGAAACATTCTAGAGTTGGCATCAACAAAATTTTTCCTAAAGGGCTAGATATAAATATCTAAGGCTTTGTGGGTCATGTAGGCTAAGTCACAACTACTTAATTCTATCAATGTATCATGGAAACAACCAGAGACAATACATAAACAATGGTGTGGCTGCATTCCAATAAATCTTTATTTTAAAAAAAAGCAGGTGGTGGGTCCTAATTGTGGACCCCTCCTGTAGAGAGAATGTGCTGGGTATGACGTTAAAAATCACCCCAACAACACTCATTTTACAGATGGTGGAATGAAGCCAAGAGAGGCAGAGAGACAGACTAGTCCCTGCCTGCCATCTTGAAAAAAGGTATGGAGCCTCCTTTTAGCTCTGAGGGTGTCTGCAAGGCACACATACTTCCTTTTCAGAAGCCCTGTTGTCCTTCCTCTTACCAACACCTGCTTTGGAGAACTGGCTGGTAATGTGTGGTATCATCAGTTCCTCTCACTTTTCTGTAAAAGGTCTGTCCTATCCACACTCTAGTCTAAGCCACTCCCACCTGATTTATACCATGATCAATTATCAAGGGCTTACTAATTGCCGACCCAGTGCCAGGTGCCTGCCATTGATATATCATTTCATCCTCTAAACCAGTGGTCGGCAAGCTGTGGCTCGCGAGCCACATGCGGCTCTTTGGCCCTTTCAGTGTGCCCCTTCTCAAAATACCGACTTCTGCGCATTGGCCACAAGTTTGAATCGCACTGTCCATGTGCACCCGCACATGGTATTTTGTGGAAGAGCCACACTCAAGGGGACAAAGAGCCGCATGTGGCTCACGAGCCGCAGTTTGCTGACCACTGCTCTAAACCAGTGGTTCTCAACCTTGGCTGCACATTAGAATCATCTGGTTGAGAACCACTGCTCTAAACAATCTTATTAGGTACTAGAGGCCCAGTGCACAAAATTTGTGCATGGGTAGGGTCCCTAGCGGCTGCCAGCTGCTGACCAGTGCCTCCCTTCATTCTGCGCCGCACCCTGGTGGTCAGCACGCATCATAGTGATCATAGTGAGTGCTCGAACTCCAAAGGGGACACTTTGCATAATATATATATATATACACATATATATATACTAGAGGCCCAGTGCACAAAAATTTGTGCACTGGCTGGGGGAGGGGGGTATCCCTCAGCCCCACTTGTGCCCTCTCACAGTCTGGGACCCCTTGGGAGATAATGACCTGCTGGCTTAGGCCCACTCCCGGGTGGCAGAGGGCAGGCCCAATCCCTAGGTGCCTGAGCCACAGCCCCTGGTCGGGCTCAGAGCAAGGCCGATTGGGGAGTTGGGGTGCCACCCCCTGTCATGCACAGAGCAGGGCGAATCAGGAGGTTGCGATGCCACCCTCAGTCACGCTCAGGGTAGGGCTGATTGGGGGGTTGGGGAGCCACCTCCTGTCACACTCAAGGCAGGGTCGATGGGGAGGTTGCAGCGCCACCCCCTGTCATGCACAGAGCAGGGCAGATCAGGGGGTTGGGTCGCCTTCTCCTTTCACGAACAGAGCAGGATGGATAGGGAGGTTGTGGCCCCGCCCTCTGTCACACACAGAGCTGCAGGGCTATCAGGGGGTTTGGGCGCTGCCCCCTGTCACGCTGCTCCAGGGGCCAGGAGGCCTCGTGGCTCCACTGATCCCGGATTCAAGAGGCCTTGTGGCTACGCTGATCCCGGATTCAAGAGGCCTTGTGGCTACGCTGATCCCAGGCCCGGAGGCCTCACAGCTCTGCTGATCCCAGTGCTGGGAGGCCTCGCGGCTCCACTTGACACAGGGGCAGTGAGGCCTCACTGCTCAGCTGATCCCGGTGCTAAGAGGCCTCACGGCTCCGCTGATCCTGGGTTCGGGAGGCCTTGTGACTTTACTGATCCCAGGCCGGGAGGCCTCTCGGCTCCACTGATCCCGGTGCTGGGAAGCCTCGAGGCTCTGCTGATCCTGGTGCTGGGAGGCGTATTACCCTTTTACTATATAGGATAGAGGCCTGGTGCACGGGTGGGGGCCGGCTGGTTTGCCCTGAAGGGTGTCCTGGATCAGGGTGGGGGTCCTGCTTGGGTGCCTGGCCAGCCTGGATGAGGGGATGATGGCTGTTTGCAGCTGGTCACACTCCCTTCAGGGTGGGGGTCCCCACTGGGGTGCCTGGCCAGTCTGGATGAGGGGCTGAGGGCTGTTTTCAGGCTGGTGGGTGACTGAAGCTCCTCCCAACCTCTCCTCTTTTTCTTTTTTCTTTTTCTGGGATTTATTTACCTTCTATGGCTGTCACTGGTGCTGAGAGCAGGCTTTAGCTCAGACCTCAGCTGCTGAAAGCAGGTTTCTGTGCTATGTTTACCTTCTGTATTTGAAACTTTGTTGCGACTCCAGCTCTGAGATCCCGGCTGCCTGAAAGCAGGTTTCTGGGGTTTTGTTTAGCTTCTATATTTGTAACAATGTTTCTTAGAGAGCAGCTCAGAGCCCAGCAGCGGCAGGCAGGGAACGTTGGCTTCCTCCGTCACTGGAGCAAGCAAGCCTCATGTTCACTTCAGTGCCTGGCTGCCAGCCGCCATCTTGGCTGGCAGTTAATTTGCATATTGCCCTGATTAGCCAATGGGAAGGGTAGCGAAGTTACAGCTAATTACCATGTTTCTCTTTTATTAGATAGGATATATATGTGGATATATATATATATATATATATATATATATATATATATATTTTAGCAAATGAAGAAACTGAGATTAAAGAGGTTAAGTAACTTGACATATTCCACAGATAGGTAAGAGCAGAGCCAAGATTTGCTTACTTTCTCACACTGCCCCTGGTTCATTCATTTGGATTTAGTCAAGCTAGAGTTTAGAATTCTAGAATTTAGTCCCTCCATCTAGACACAGTCTTGCCCACCCTCAAGGACCACCTCAAAGCCACTTTTGCCATAAAGCATTCTCCTACCCTTCTTTGGTCACAGAGAGTGTGGACAACACAGTTAAGCATCTATAGTGTTAGAGCTGCACTGATCCCTGTGACTTCATGTGCATTAACATTTTCACTCTGATGTAAACTCCTCAAAGATAGCACCAGGTACACAAGAGGTACTTGATATATACCAATAGGTATGTATGTACCAAACACTGTGCTAAGCCCCTTAAATATATTCTCTCTCATTTCCACAAGATCATCCTGAGGTAGATGCTATTATCACACTTCACAGATGAAGAAGCTGAGGCTCAGAAAGGTAAGTGCCTTGCCCACACCAGAGAGCTCTGGCAGACTGGAATGATCAGCAATGAGTGCTTATGAGAGAAGAGTTGGATAGTGTGTATGAAAAAGTTGTACTTCAGTCTTCAGATTCTAAGTTCTTGCCACCCAAAAGTAATTTTACTCTAACAAGCTGATTAACCTTAAGCCAAAGAAATAAAGCCATAAGGGTAGGATTCAGATGCACCAATACAAGATAGATTTGTGGAACTGAAATCCTCTTCAATTTCTTCTGACAGCCTAAGCTGAATCCTTGTCTAAATGCATGGAGAGTCTACCAGAATGCATAAGTCAGTGGGGTGTGACCTAAGCTGGACTCTTATGATCACATTTATATCTTCTAAGAACTCACCTTTGCATCTCGGATATCTTTCCCCAAAATCTTGGACAAAACATCAGCATATTGCTGTACTGTTAGCGCTTCTGCACTGAGGCCCATAGCCTTGCCTAAGAACTCTCCTGGAGAATCAAAAATTCTAGAGACGACTGCTCCGATATCAGCAACAGAGATGCCATCCATGGGAATGTCCCCCATAGGCAGTGCTAGTAAAAACAAAAACAAAAAAGAGAGATAAAAATAGGTAATTATATCACATCCTTGGTAGGTCTTGAATTGATACCAACTTGAATTAATCAACCACTGAACAAAAGGTAGGAAAGCAATGTAACACCTAGTGGCCACAATCTATGCACAATTAGTTACAAAGTTTAGATTTGAGAACATACTATAATGGCTGGGTAGTGATTTTTTAAAAGCCACCATTCACTAAGAATCTGCTTTGTGCAAAATATAATTAGTTATATCTACAATCCAGATTTCTCTGCTGAATTCCAGGCTCTATTGCCCAACTTCCTACTCAACATCCTTATTGATTGTTTAATAAACATGTCAATGTGCTTCAAAATGAATTCCTATAACCCATTCACCCCCAACTTGCCCCATTTCAAGTCTATCATTCCTGATTCTCAAGTCAAAAATCTTAGCGTCAGCTTGACACTTCTCTCACACCCCATATCCTTTTTTTAAAAAAATCCTATTCATAGTATGTCTAGAGAATCTGACCACTTCTCACCAACTTCACTGCTACCACCATGGTCAAAGACATCTTGAACCATCATCTTTGACTTGGATTATTGCAAAGTTGGTCTACCCATTTCCACTCTTGCCTTTCCATGGTCTCTTTGTCAACTTATAAAACTAACATCAGCTCATATCATGTCTAACCATACCCTCCAATGGCTCTCTGTCCCTCAAAAGACAAGTCAGTGGTTTACAGGACCAGACCTCTGTTAACTCTAGCCTCACCTTCTACTACTCTCCCTTACTTGCTCTGTTCCAGCCACACTAGCTGTTCGCTCTTCTCAAAATGTTCTTTCCTGAATACTCACAAAGACCACCACCTAGCTCCATCAGAAGGTGCTCAGACATCACCTTCTCAAAGAGGCCCACGGATCCTCTTGTTTAAGTTTCACATGCCACCTCCTTATTGCTGGCACTCCACATATAACTTACCTTGCCCTATTTTTATACAGTACTTACCTCCTAACATACAATATACTTTACTTATCTATTATGTTTATTATCTATCTCCTCCACCCAAATAAAAACTCCATGAGGGCAGACTCTGTTTTGAACTGATTCCCCAGTAAAAGACTATAACATAGTAATAAGCCCTCTAATATTTAATGAATGGATGAATGAATGAATGAGCTCAAAATATTGGCTGGTTTAATCTTCAAAACAATCTTGAAATATTGTTTCAAGGAATTGTTTCAAGGAATATCAGGTACTTCCAGAAATTACTCAGCCAGCAAGCAGCAGAAGTGGGCTCAAACCCTCATGTGTCACTCAAAAACCCCTTCCTACAGTGTGACACAGCCTCTCATGGGTCCCCAGAATCCCAGAATCCCGAGGCTGGAACCCAAAATGGATATGATCTAGCCTCAGAACTCTAACTTTTTAAATGAAGAAACTCTGAATGGATATGAAAACATGAACCAAATATATGCTGTCTACAAGAGACACACCTCAGAACAAAAGGCTAACACAGGATGAGAGTTAAGGAATGGAAAAAAATGTTTCCATTCAAATGAAAACAAATTTTAAAAAGCTGGGGTAGCAATAGTCATACATGACAAAATAGACTTCAAAATGAAGGCCATCAGAAGAAACAATAAAAGTCACTACATAATACTAAAGGGATCAATCCAACAAGAGGATATAACCCTGGTAAATATATATGCACCCAATATAGGAGCACCTAAATATATTTTTTTAAAAAAACCTCTGGAGAACTTTAAGGGAGAGATCGACAGCAGTATGTTTATGGATCCATCTCCTAGGACAAAGGAAACCAATGAGAAAATAAACAAATGGGACTACATCAAGACAAAAAGTTTCTGCACAGCAAAAGAAAGCATCAACAAAATGAAAAGGGATCCCACTGTATGGGAGAACATATTTGGCAATGATACATATGAGAAAGGGTAATATCCAAAATATATAAGGAATTCATACAACTTAACAAAAGGAAGACAAACAATCCAATTTAAAAATGGGCAAAGGAGAGATTAAAAATGGCGGCAGAGTAGGAGGATGCTGCATGGTCATGCTCCCAGGAACAAGCTGGAATTACAAGTGAAATACAAGAAGTCTTCCTGAATAATCAACGGAAAACTCACAGGAGAAAACCCTGATACCCAAGGACCGAAGGTGGAGCCGGCATAGAGACTGGTAGGAGGGGCAGAGACGTGACCCACAGAGGGGAACTGAAGACCCAGAGAGATATCTCAGCCGGTGGTGGAGGGGGGGAAGGTGCCACTGAGAATTCTGGGATCTAATTCCGGAGCTGGGCTCCCCAGCAGAGAGCACCAAACTGAGGAAGGTATCCACATAACATCAAGCTGTGAAAAGCAGTGGGGTGCTGTCTGCCAGGGAGTGGCAGCTGAAAGTTCAGGCACCCTATTAAAGGGCCAAGGCACAAACATTCCCTGTGTAGCCACCCACCTTGTGCTCTGGCAGAGGAAGGCTGAAGTGGACTGGAGCTGTGAGAGCAGAAGCCAGCACTGGGGACTTAGGGGACAGAGCTCAGAAGGCAGACACCCCAAGTCTCCTTGGCTCAGTCATTCCCTCACACAACCACATAGACATCTGCCTTGCCTGGGGGGAAGACAGTTGACACACCATATTGGAAAACACCTTGCCCTGAGGCCACTTAAGAGATTAAAAGTAACAATTCGAAGGAGTAGCAACTGCTTGTGTAGCATGCCCCCATCCAAGGAACAGCAGCCTCCTGATCACCACACCCTCTGTCTGAGGAACAGCAGCTGTGTGTGAAGCCTCCCCCCACCAGCCAGAGGAGCCACCACAACTGTGAACAGCACCCACCAGAGGAGCTGCTGCCAACTGAGGAGCAGCTGATACCACAACCACCCGAGGAGCAACCACAGCCCGAGGAGCCACTGCCACCCAGGGAGGAGCCACTGAATGACTCAACATCTAGATATGTCAGTGAGATCAAACATAGGTAGACAAAGAAACCCCCAAAGGAAAGAAAAGGAGGACTCACCAGAAAAGCAGCTAAGTGAAACCGAGGCATGCAACATGACAGAAAAAAGAATTCAGATTAAGGGTCCTTGAATGCATAAACTGGATGGAGGAAAAAATCAACAACTTATGCAAGAAACAAGAAGAAACAGATGAAAAAATCAATAAATTATGTAAGAACCAAGAAGAAATGAAGAGTGATATAGCTGCAATAAAAAACACCATTGAACGTTTCAACAGTAGACTGGGAGAAGCAGAGGACCAAATTAGCAAATTAGAAGACAGAGAAACAAAACACACCCAAACTGAACAGCAATTGGAGAAAAAAATTAAAAGACAGGAGGAGAACCTAAGGGAGGTATGGGACAACATGAAGCAAAACAACATACAAATAATAGGGGTGCCATAACAACAGAAAGAGGAACAAGGGTTATAAAACCTATTTGAAGAAATAATATCAGAAAACTTCCCAGAGGTGGGGAAGAAAAAAATCACACAAGCACAGAGAGTCTCAAACAAGGTGTACCCAAAAAGACCCACACCAAGACACATCATAATTACCATGGCAAATGTTCAGGACAAAGAGAGAATCCTAAAGGCTGCAAGAGAGATGGAAAGTTACATTCAAGGGATCTCCCATTAGATTATCAAATGATTTCTCAACAGAAAGACATCAGGCCAGAAAAGAATGGACAGAAATTTACAAAGTGATGCAAAGCCAAGGACTGAATCCAAGAATACTCTATCCAGTGAGGCTATCATTCAAAATGTAAGGGGAAATAAGAAGCTTCACAGACAAAAAAAGGCTAAGGGAGTTTACCACCACCAAGCCAGCAATGCAAGAAATGCTGAAGGGACTGGTGTAAAAAGAAGAAATAAAAAGCTCAGAAAGAAAACAGCCACACACAAAAAGAAATGGCTACAAACAAGTACCTTTCAATAATAACTTTAAACATAAATGGACTAAATGCTCCAACCAAAAGACATCGAGTGGCTGAATGGATAAAAAACATGACCCATACATTTGCTGTCTACAATAGACCCACCTCAGAAGAAGGGACTCACACAGACTGAAAGTGAAGGGATGGAAAAATATCTTTCAGGCAAATGGAAATGAAAAAAAAGCTGGGGTAGCAATACTTATATTGGACAAAATAGACCTCAAAGTGAAGGCCATAACAAGAGATAAGGAAGGCCACTTCATAATACTAAAGGGATCAATACAACAAGAAGATATAACCCTGGTAAACATATATGCACCCAAAGCAGGAGCACCCAAATACATAAAAAAACTCCTGGAAGATATCAAAGGAGAGATGGACAACAATACAATCATAGTAGGGGACTTTAATACACCACTGACATCACTGGATAAATCCGCTAGACAAAAACTCAGCAAAGAAACAGCAATCCTAAATGACTCACTAGATCAGATGGACTTAATTGACATCTTCAGAACACTTCACCCCAAAGCCACAAAATATACGTTCTTCTCAAGTGCTCATGGGACATCTTCAAAAATAGACCACATATTGGGTCACAAACAAAGTCTCCCCAAATTCAAGAAGATTGAAATCATACCAAACATCTTCTCAGACCACGATGGCATAATATTAGAAATAAACTACAATAAAAACAACACAAAATACGCAAACACTTGGAAGCTGAATAGCATGCTATTAAATATTGATTGGGTTACCAATGAGATCAAAGAAGAAATTAAAAACATCCTGGAAACTAATGACAATGAAAACACAACAATCCAAAACCTTTGGGACACAATGAAAGCAGTCCAGAGAGGGAAGTTTATAGCTCTACAGGCCTATCTCAAAAAATAAGAAAAAAATGATAGTAAATCATCTAACTCTACAACTCAAAGAATTAGAAAGAGAGCAACAAGAAAAGCCCACAGTGAGCAGAAGGAAGGAGATAATAAAGATTAGAGCAGAAATAAATGACATAGAGACCAAAAAACAATACATAAAATCAATGAAAC